ATATTTCCCATGCTTAAAGCATCTTTGTAATTGAAAGTATAGCTCTTTGACCAATAGTTGTAAAATTAAAGGCCACATAGTTATTTTTATGTGCATGGTATATAGGTTCATCATTTAAGAAATTAATTAAGGTACATGATAATGGCATGCAGAGATTCATCAGCAATAACTGTAATGAGAACACTGTGTCTTTATGTAAAAGATCACTCGTACTAGAAATTAGGCCAGAATAAAATTAAAACCATCAGTAAATCTAATATTAGAAACTCTGTCGTAACAAAGCTGAGAGACCTACAAGCTTGCAATTTTGTATGTGTAATAAAGCTCCCTTGAGCATTTAGAACCCCAAATTTCATTTATCTACCTCTTATAGTTATGAGATTATTAAAGTCTGAAAAGTGTCATTTTTATCAGTCACTCATCAAAAACCTAAACCACTTCTAAATGACTTGAAATTTGGCATCAAGGTAAATCATTAGGGATATACAAAGGGAAAAAATTTAGAACTACATTATTAATATATTAACTAAATTATTAACATTTATTGCAACAGAAAAAAAACTACATTATTATCGAGGTTAAACCAAATAACACTCATAATGTGCATTTGACAACATTACCAATAGATGGTGTTGCACCGACCACCAGTTTCAGCACCACATTAGATACTAATCGGCTTTGCTGAAAGTGAAGAATAAAAACCTGTTTAAAATAGATGAAATGATAGGGCAGAGGTAGAGTGCAGGACTGGCTCTTTTTTCACTTTGATAGTGGTTTCGAGCCTAACTACAGCGATATTGCCAAAAGAATGTAAACAGCTTTCAAGCAATAAAGTGTTGCCATTCAGTAACTCAAATTTAAGTAACAAAACAAATGCTATATGTAAATAAAGCAGTAGAAAATTTTAAAAAAGAAAACATAAATCTATGCTTTAAAATAAGCTTTAAGCATATATATTGCTTAATAATTAAAACTAGCTGTTTAAATTTATTGTTTACATTTTAACATCCCTTTAAAAATCTAAAACTTCCATAAAGTGCATTATTATCAAGGTTAAACAAATAATGAGGAATTTTTTATATCATTTTCATAAAAAGAAACTAGTGCAGCAATATGCAAGGAAAAAAATTGAAGGTTACACATTTGTTTAGATGCTTTTTCATTTAAGTGTCTAAATAAGAACATAACCTTTAATTTAGCTTTTCAAAAATTAATGATATGATGACAACATAAATATGGAAAAAGGGCCAAGTTCAGGAGAAACAATGTTCGGTGTAGTCTGTCACCGACAAAAGAGTTGAGATCTAACAGATGGTAAATTCCATAGCAGTTCCTTTTAATCACAGCTGTAGGAATTTACAACATTCTTCAATTCATTTAAAAAAACAATTTATTACTTTCTTTGATATCTGATTTCTAACTTAGCAAGCTTTAATTGCCAATAAATTACGTTAAAAATATTTGATTTCTGCAATTAGAAACTCTTGTAAAAAACAATTTATCACTTTCTTTGATTATCAGATTTCTAACTTATCAAGTTTTAATTGTCAATAAATTATGTTGAAAAATTTTTACTTCCTCAATTAGAAATAACTTGCTAAGTTAGAAATCCGGTATCAAAAAAGTAATAAATTTTTTTTTTAAATTAGTTGAAAAACATTGTACATTCATACAGCTATGATTAAAGGAACTGCTAGGGAACTTGGCATATGTTAGATCTCAACTCTATTGTTGGTGACACAGACTACACCGATTGTTGTTTCTTCCGAAATTTCTTTTTTTCACATTTATGTTGTAATTATGATATTATATACTTCCTTTCTGAAATATATATGACAACAAAAATAAAGTAATGCAATAACTAATGAAAAACTGTGAATAAACAATTGATATATGCATAGAAATGCAAAATGATGCACAAAACTTATAAAAATTATAGTAAAAATACGATGCACAAAATTTGGTATGATGTATAGTTTTAGCATGTTGTTTAAGTCTTCTTTTACCAAAATTCAAAATAGAATTGAATTACGTAGTGCATGATAATAAATCTGAGAGTATGCATATGCATGCTAAATGATTATATATTGCATGTGTATTATTATATAGTGTTTGTGTATATGTCAGGCATTGCCAAAACATGGTTTGCAAGCAGCATGCAGATATTTGGCTTCTTAAATGCAATTTGTATTGTAGCAAAGAATAGTCTGGTTTTTTTAAATGTAATTAAAAGCAGAAATCAGCCTATAATATATTTTTAGTAACTTAATTTAAAAGTTATGTGCTTTATAATTTTAAACAATTTTAAATTCTGTACCCTGAATTAGTCATCAAAGTAACAAAAGAAAAGCAAATAATTCTGTTTGTGCAAATTGCTGCTGTGATGATGGTGCTTTTAAACCAAATAATTGTTCTTGAGACAAAAATGACAAACACATTGATGAAATACTGCATTATTTAATGGTTTCAATTCTTATTGACCAACATTGTGAATACATACAGTGTTAGCCGATGAGCCACCGTGAATACATATAGCCTATATGATTTCCATTTGTCGGTCCTCACATTAAAAGTGCTAATTCCTCTCATTCTCTCTCTCTTCCTCCCCCCCCCAAATTACTGCCTTATTCTTTGTTTAACCAGAAAAGCTTTTATGTTATTCTTAAAACTACTATGTCTTCTTTTCATCACAGTTTATTACTATTAAAATCAGTTAGCAGTTAGTAATTGTAATCAGAGAAAATTTGGAGACTAGAAGAAATTACTCAATTTTTCTGTTTGAAAATGATACAGTAGTTAAAATTTATTTGTATACCACATGCAGAGCAAATGAAAAAAGAATTACATAACAACATAAACAAATAATTATGTAACTGAAATGATATTTTTTAATTTGCTTCAAACGTCTCTTTACTTTCTTTTAAAATACTATAAATGTCTAGTTATGGCTCTTGGAAAACCTACTCCAGATCTTGAATATTTCTGAGCTTTATTATGTTTCTCCTGTTGAAGTTTAATTGCTTCTAGTATCCCTAACTGAAAATTTAATTTTATAATTATATTATATTTATCTGAAAATTTTAATTTTTATAATTATTATTTTTATTTTTATTTTAATCTATTTTTATTGAAAATCAGCTCTGGGAAGTGATTGTTGTTTTAAGAAAGCAGCTGCAAATAAATGAGATGTTCTTGCAGTTTCTCATCCTCTGATGCTTTTCTTTAAGGTTGAGCATAAAATTATTGATGATTAATATTACAAATTCTTTTTATTAGGCGTATATAGTCTTTTTCATTGTATACTAATATTATGTTCTGATCCATGCATACTTGCTGCCCTAGAAAATATGATGAGTAGCAGAAATTGGCTGCCACATCATTCAGTGGAGATTCAATTCACTTATAACGTACAGTGGATGGACAAAAATATGGAAACACCTTGTGAAATGCATGTTTGAAAAGAAAGATTGATTTTAATGAAATATGTAGGTGGCACTGGCGTTTTTGACTACTATACAACTTCGTAAATGTGCTAAACACTTCAGTTGTTGTCGGAGTACTGTTATGTGAGGTTGTCATTGCATTATGTCAGAGTTAACAGACTTCGAACGTGGGCAAATTGTTGGAGCACGTATGGTAGGTGCTTCCGTAAGCAAGGTAGCCGAGGTGTTTAGTGTTTCAAGAGGTACTGTATCGAAGATTTTATTCCGCATATTTGAAAAGCGGAAAAACATAATCTGCTAAATCACAGTGCGGACGAAAAGTGTGTCCTGAGTGATCGTGACAGACGATCATTAAGGGCAATTGTGACGAAAAATAAGAAGACCACAGCTGCAAAAAGTTACTGCTGAAATGAATGTTGTGTTACCGAACCCTGTGAGTACCAAAACAATTAGAAGGAAGCTTCATAAACAGGGAATTGCTGGCCGTGCTGCAATGAGAAGCCGCTCATCAGTGATGCTAATGCCCGTAACAGGAAAAGGTGGTGTTTAAGTCATAAAGCCTGGACTATAGAGGAGTGGAAGCGAGTAATATGGTCTGACGAGTCTTCTTTCACATTGTTTCCCACTTCTGGGGCCGAGTTTACGTCTGGAGAACGCCATCTCAAGCCTATAATACAGACTGCTGTTCCCAAGAGTGAAACATGGGGGGGGGGGGGTTCTGTTATGGTTTGGGCAGCCATATCGTGGTTCTCTGCTAGCCCCATGATAACTGTGTCCAGGGCACATGACTGCCCAAGTTTATGTGAACATTTTGGCCAATCAAGTTCATCCCATGGTACAAACTTTGTTCCCCGATGGTGATGGTGTCTTCCAAGATGACAAAGCCCCTGTTCACACAGCTTACATTGTCCAGGACTGGTTTTCTGAGCACGAGGATGAGTTGTTCTATCTCCCCTGGCCACCACAGTCACCAGAACTGAATATTATCGAACCTTTGTGGTCTACATTGGAACGGAAAGTGCGTTCTCGTTATCCACCGCCAACATCGTTATCTGAACTTGCCACCGTTTTGCAGGAAGAATGGTATAATATTCCCTTAGCAAACATACAGGAACTGTATTTATCCATTCCGAGAAGACTGCAAGCTGTTTTGGATGCCAACGGGTTTCCTACACCATATTAAGCAAGGAAACATCTTTTTCTAAAGGTGTTTCCATATTTTTGTCCAACCCCTGTATAGACCTTTAAGGCACGTTTATACAGTGATGGTAGAGAACAGGCAGAATCTTGGATTAAATCTCTTAGATTGCTGTCAATCAAAATTGTACTGAAATTTAAGCATATAGTCCTCATATTCTTTGCCATAACTAATCCAATACAAGCTAGAATAAAGGGATATAACTTTTATAGTAAAGCCGTAAATGGATAATGAAAAATTTACATAAATTTTTATGCTTTTTAAGTAGATTGCATTCTTATATGATCAACTTTAAACAGTTTTTTACATTTTGACTCTGTTTTAGATTTTTTTTATATAATAGTCTTATTATTATATAGATGTTTTTGAAATATATCAGCAACATTTAAAAACACATCACCATGCTGTATCTGTACCTTTTGCAGTAACATATGTGAGTATAGTTTTTATAATTTGTTTTAATTTTATTTTGGTAGTTTTATCATTTTAACAAAATGAACAACTTTTATTATTTTCTAAAACTTTTTAATAACATGTTTTTAATTAATTAGTTTCATTGGTTTATTTTCCTTTCCTTTTCTCATTTTATGTGTATTTTCTTTTGAATATAATTTTTGAAGAAATGTAATTTGGTATCAAATAAATATTGCAAGTGTTCAGTAAATTTCTTAATTTGTCAATAAATATTTATTAGTTCTTACACATTGTGTTATATGAAATAATATGCGAGATTAAAAGTTTACATTAAATCGAGTTAAATATTTCTAGTAGAAACTTTATACTAGTAAAGTAATCAGCTACATTTTAAAAAATAATAAGTTATGCTGCGAACATACTTTATGTATGAATTTGCACAGCAGAATTTCAGGTGTAAAATTTATTCATTAGAGATTTATAGAATTTTATCTGTTTTAAAAAATTCCATAAAAGAGTCATAGTTAATGGAATTTTGTAACTTATAATTAATTGTAATAATTTCAAATGTTGCTTTTGATTTAAATCATCTTTACTGCAGTAAATAGATTATATCAAGCTTATTTTTTTGGATGATTTAATCTTTTTAGATATAGATCAAAATATCTTAGGTGAATTTTCAGATACTAGATTATCTTATAATTTTTGGAAAATGTTGCTGATAGGTTTTTATGATTTTTTATTTTTTTATGTGTAAAAAATTCTGGAAAGAGTTTTTGTCAAATGACCATCTTTTCTTACAAATGCCTTCTTTTTTCCTCTTGTGTTCTGATTTGTTATTTGTTTAAATATAACAGAATTACTTATTTTGTGAAATTAAACTACTTTTTTTTTTTTTTTTTTTTTTTTCATTTTATGCAGGTTAATGATATTGAAAAGCCATTTTGTAATATGTATAGCATTGTTATTACAGCTCAGTCAACTCCACTTTGTAAGGAAATTTCAGGTATTCCCCCCTTTCTTTATTTGCTTGAATAGTTTTTTTATTGTGAAATATTGATATTTAGTGTGTCCATATTCTCTTAAAGTGAATGTAAAATGTTTTACTCTTTCTGTTACTCTATTTTAATTTGTTGCTATTAAATTTTAAAAAAGTATCATTGTTTTAATTTCTTTTAAAGTTATTTTTGAAGTAAATACATGTTTTAGTATAATGTTAAAAATTTAATGTGTTTATTTTTATCCTTATAAAAAATTGTAATGAAAGAAATTCTTTTTAAACTCTTAAAAACTTTAAAATATGTTTAATATTCTAAAACAAATTATTTGTAGAATGTAAATACAGGTTGAGTCAGCAGTATGTCTATACATTTGATTACATTGTGTAATGATAATACAACAAAGGAGATTGAACCACTGGAAAGTCAAGTCTTCAAACTGCTGGACAACATACGACAATGCTAATTAAACTCACTTTATTGCCAATAGTTGTTAGATTTCTTTTGGAGCAGAAATTTTTTTTAAAAAATCAACAATGCCCTTGCTGGGATTCAAACTCTGGATCTCCCAATGCTAGCCAAATATGCATCCAGTTATACCATGAAGGCGTATTGTTAGGAGAGAGAAAATACCTTACGTTCTACTCCATTTAAAGAATGACTGCAGAAGGATGGACCCAATTACCAAATCCTGGGGTGATAAAAAATTATCATCCATTAAATTTTAGTTCAGGTGCTACTTGTACAATTGTTAGAAAGCACATGGCTAGGTGAATAAAAATACCATATATTCTCCCTCACGTAAAGAATGACTGAAGAGGAATGCACCAATCGCCAAATCCTGGTGGTAACAAATTATCATCTATTACATTTTAGTTCAGGCACCACTTGCATAATCATTAAGTTTCTTTCAAAGCAAAAAGCTGGAAAATCAATCTCTTGCCAAGATTGTAATTTCCGATGCTTTCCAGTAATGTTTCCAATTAAACCACAAAAGCAGATGATAAGGAAGAAAAAATGCCTTACAAGCTCACCATTTCCAGTACTTGTAAACCTAATTTTTTTTGTACCTCGTTCTATCATTAATCTTTTGCTTGTAAGTGGCTTCCATGCAAATCAAGCATTAAATATTTTGCCTTGTTTTTCCGAGATTTGGGTGAAGTGATATTTTAGAGCAGGTTTCAAGACATAATGATATTATTTGATAGAGTTAAACCTGCTGTATTTGATATAGTTACCTGTATTTTAAAAAGGAACTATTTCTAATAATAAAAATTTTTTTAAAGTAATATATTTTTTTTAAATATTTTAGAGATTGAAATACCTGTATTAAAGGGAGACAAAGGGCAAGGTATGAAAGATATTCATTTTTTCTTAGTGTTCTTTTAAATTTTGACTTCTAAAATATTGTGTGTATTGAGTGATCCAAAAGTATTGCTAAAACTTAAAAGTTTATGACTAATAGAGTTTTGATGATAGTACAAGGTCTTTAACATATAAATGTTCAAAATTACATAAAATTGCATTGCTCATTTTGGCACTTTCTGATTATCTGTCTCCTTTAAAAAGTATTCATGAGGAAATGCACTATTTTGACAAAATGTATTTATGTTGCTATCCAGGTATGTGCTCATATGGAACAGATCACTTTAGTGTATGTTTTCATAACAGTGGGTGAATTTTTTTCTTGTAAGGAATCATAATGGGATTGTGAAGCATGCTGGCTGATGAAAAAGAAAGCATTGTATTTTTCTGAACTATGCCATTTCGCCTAACAGTAGAGAAAGCAGAAATTTGCATTCCATGCCAAAATTTTTCAGTGGCAAATTTGTTTGCAAAATATATCATAAATGTCTTTTAAGTGAAAACAGATCATTGTGTACATAGAGAATGGTGCCAAAGTTGTGTGTGATGCTGAGTTTTTGCAGTTTTCTGATATTTTTTCAAGCTGAAATAGATTGATGTGTACATGGGGTTAGGTTAAGGGATCGAGGAAAGGTACTAGAGGGCTATCTGCCTATGGGAAGGGATGCCTTTCTAGATGACTTTTTAACCCATTAGCCGTTGGTGTTGCGTTGACGCAACGGTCAAAATAAATGCGTATATAAATATAACTACCCAAGATATTTTATACCAGCAGATGATTTTGTGTAGGGAATATTATGAAGATTATTTCTGTAAAAAAATATTTGCCTTCAATAATCATTTTGTTTATAATAATTAATCTCATACTTTAAGCAAAATTTTCGACCGGGTATTTTTCTGAAAATATTTAAGGAAAGAATTGCCGTCCTTATGAGTGATCTATTTTTAGTCAAGGTCACCGTTTATCAGAACATTAAATCAGTCAGATGTTTATATTTGTGTTGCGAAGAAAGGTAAAACAGGTGTTGCGTTTACGCAACATCAGCAGGAAACGGGTAGTCAATCTCCTTTTTCACTCATTCCTTTCAATGTTCTGGTTCATGTTCTGGTTTTTTAAAAATGCCTAGAACTAGGTATCTTACATTAGAAGAAGCCCTTCAAAGATTTTTTGATGAAGAAACAGATGATGATAATGTTAATAATGACCAGAATGAAACTCATATTGTTGTTCCCCCAGAAATTGCAGAGGCTACTGACGAAGAAGAAAGGAATAACAATGTTTTAAATAATGATAATGATATTTTACCAAATGATACCACTGCTGGGGAAGTTGAAATTCACGTAAAAGATGTAAGTTTCAGCCTTCTAAAAGCATTTATAGTCATACTAAAAAGTTTAAAAAGCAGAAGACTGAAATCTTGAAGTGGATAAAAAGGAACTGTTAGTTATGTCTCAGGAAGAACATGAAGAAAGAGATAGAAGAGAAATTATAAAAGACAAAACACAAGGTAAAACTAGTGCACATATTTTCGATTTTCTTTTTGGTTTAGACATTTACTCTGTTCTCGTTGAACAGACAAATATATATGCTCAGGAAAAAAAATGCCCAGAATTTATTGCATCTGAAGCCTATATGAGAAAATTTATTGGAATATTATTGCTTACAGGATATCATTCTTTACCTCAAGAAAAAATGTATTGGTCTTTTGATAAGGACATTTCTGTTTCTGTTGTATGAGAATTAATATCATGTTTGCAGTACAGGAATATTAAACAGAATTTGCATTTGACAATAGTCAAATTGAAAATACTGATAAATTATATGAGGTGAGACCGTATCTAAACTTACTAAATATAACCACTTTTTACTACTGGAAATATAAAGTCTGTTTTAGATTTCAGACGCGAGAATTCATTATTTCTTTTGTAAACTCCTATTAAGAGTGTAGAATTAGCCATAAATATATCAGCAACATGAAGACCTAGTAAATTCCGGATTCAAAAACCATTGCATGGAGATGGTAGACATTTTATCGTAAAGTCCGATGACTAACAAAAGACTTCTGTTGTAAAGAGTACCATAGCCAGACTGTTTATAGATGCAAAGTATGTAATGTAGCTTTACATCATGATTGTAATCAAGCTTTTCATGCTTGAATCTTTCAAATGAAATAATCTGCATTTGTAAAAGAAATACAAAGTATATTTTAATATTAAATTAATTACAAGTAGAGTGATTTGTAGATTTATAAAACATTATACAGCTAAAAAGTAATCCTGCGTTCCACTCAAAAGAAACGTCACACGAGTACAATCCTACTCACTAAACATCCGTAGTCTTATTCCGCTGACGTTGCGTGAACGCAACACTCGCTTTTTCCACAAGTAAGAGCATTTTTTTTATTTTCAATGTAAATTTATGTTATAAATGCTTAATTTAATATTTTTTATTATTTTCATGAGAAAAGAAACATTCCTTGTAGTTTTGGCAGTTAATGGGTTAAGGGAAACTGGCTTGTATCCATGTTACACATGGGAAAAAACACAAAAAACAGCCTGTTCACCAAGATTTGATTCCAGGTTGAGCTACTTATGTTCAGCGATTTTATGGTTCAGCCACTGATGGGCCCTGTGCATGGGAAGATCAGTCAAAAAAAGACTAGTGTTTTATTATGAAAGTTTATGTTTTGAATTTTGTGAATTGGTTGCAGTTTTGTGTAATTTTTTAATGCACTACCATTTTTGAAAATGTCTGTTGTCTTTTATATCTTAAATTGGTAAAAAATTTGTCGCCAATGGTTGGCAACTTTTTGGGAGAGAATATGAATAATGAGGAAGTACCATCATTTTAATTATATTTTTCATCATTATGGGGAATTTCAACAATCTTTAATTGCTAATACTCAGAAGACTTAAATGTACAGAAGCTAACTCATTATCTGTGCTTAGTGGCCTATTATTAAGAATTTACTTACAGACGACAAATGACATTACAATCAATAGACAAAAAAGACATAAAACTGCAAATTTATATGTATGGCCGAAGCATCTATCTGATAGAGTCCTTCAGCATAACCAATGGAAAGGGTGGCTTTTGTATATGTTTGATTTAAGGTCAATTCGCAAGAGACTTCGCTGTTTTTTTGTAGTGAGTGTTCATGCCAAAAACATGATGCTCACTCATCATCATCATATATTCAGCAGTTTCCTTGACAGAACATGTAATAAAGGGGTGGTGCATCATCTAATACCAATGTTATATCATTTAGTGCATGACTGTCTTGCATATTAGGGATTATGTTATCTAATACAATTTTTGAATAACATTCACCTTACTGAATTACTGAAATAATTTGGGAAATTGTGCATTTAAGAAAATGTGAGGTCATAAAGGGCAATATGAAGCCTAACCATACTGCAACTTTTAGCTGTTCAAGAGGTTATTCTATTAAAGTTCTGGGATTTTTCTGTTGCCTGGATGTGGCAACTTTTGTTTACTGTTTTGTCGAATGCCAAACATGCTTCATCTGGCCATAAGATATTTAGCATTCATTTGCTGGAAAAAAAAAATCTTACATGAATACATCACTAGCTTACTGTTTGTGATGTCTTTAAGTTTGTATGAATACCTGTGAATTATAAATTATAGTGTTGTTAGTACTATAACTCCATGGCATTAGCACATGAAAATCAATTGATTGTTAAAGAAACCTAACAGCAATTTTATCCCTGTATGCTAATGACACTTAAATGATTTCTCCTTTTGGTGAAATAGTACCTGTTGGAGAACTATGTGTTATTGAACTTCTGCTTAATGGTATAGTTCCAAAGATCATGTCACCTTAATTTTTTTTTTTTACAATTGACATCCATGGATCCTTTCCTATATTGAATAATATATAAAGAAGATCTCAAAAGCAAATTTTTCCAATTCATATTTGTAATAATGATGCTTCATCTTATAATGAAAGCATAGTGATTAGTTACACTTTAAATTGCATTTTCTTTAAATAGGCTGTTTTTATATTCTGTTTTATACACTTTGTCCTATTATAGTTTTGGCTTAACAGTCAGAAATGCAACTAACATCACCTGCAACATTTTTGATCAAAGGTGTTCTCATGACATTCTGAGCATTTTTATGTTAGTCATGTTGCACTATAAAAAATCTAGAGTTTATTATTTTTTAAGCCGTAGGGAAATTTAGATTAGCCAGTATATAAATAGCAATCTATCTGAAAGTTTATGAAAATACAAGAAAATTCCCCACTTGCTTCAAAAACGTGAAAAACAAATCTTCAATCATTTATATTTATTCATTTCGACAATACTGAACATAGCATTTTTAAATGAGAGTGCTGTGTCAGTTCCATCTTAATAATTATCCTCCCTCTTTATAGCAAATGTTTTTAACAGTATATTTGGTATGTTTTATGATATTATTCCTTGGGAAACTGTATGGTATAGAAGAACAATGTGCAGGAATTAAGTTTTATTATAAATTTAATGGAAATAATGCAGATACTCACAAAATGCTTCAGCAAGCTAGTAGTTTGGAAAAGCAGATGATTACTGATACTTGCAGAGTTGCTGGATTGTTTTATGTCAGTGAATTTGGTTGGTTGAATTGAACATGATGATGCTGACAAGTTTGTATCATAAACATTTATTGTGCAGCAGTTTTCTGGCATTCAGTAACATAATAGTTTGTCTTCACTCTCATTCACTAGATTTAATTCTCTGCAACATCCTCTTCCCTAAAATTTAAAAAAAAAAAAAGAAAGAAAGAAAGAAAAAAGAAAAAAGAAAAGAAAAAGTGCAAGGGAAAAGATTTAACTCTATAAAGAATGTTTAGGAAAAATTTTGGGTTTACTGAATGTTGTAAAATAGATAATTTCCTATTTTTTCCATTCTGAGAATGGTATTTCGCATCATTGTTTATATTGCAATTAAGGTTTATTAGGGTAAAGGGGAATAAGGGTTAATGCATGTTGATTAATACTTTAAAGCTAATTTCATGAGCTCTTGGATAGAACTTGAAATATGTATCTATGTGTATGTTTATATATTCATTTACATATTTTTCCTAGAGACACTTATAAATCTCAGATTCATACCGTTGGAGCCTCACCCCCTTACTCTGTATTTTAGGTAATATGCTTTAGTTTATAGGATGATTTTTAATCTTAAGTTTATAAATTTATGACAGCTATTTATTGGTTTAAGGTTGTTCACTTTGCTTTTATTTTTGATGCTTTGTCTAAATTTTGGAGTCTGATTTTATAATAAATATGATTTTTATTAAATATTTCAATTGTATTATTAATTTTGAAATTCCCTTCTAAATTAAATTTTTTTATGTACAACTGGATGAATATTTATTCCATGTGAATAATTGTCACTGGAACTATTAAGCATGTATATAGTCCATCTTAAAGTATGATGGTGTTATCAAGTTTCTTATTATAATGGCAGGGGGAATAAAGCACAAAATAGTGATGAAGAATTGTTCATATAATTTTAATACTTCATAGAAATTCAATTTACAGTTTTTTGATATAAATAAAGGAAGATCCTAAATATATATAATATTTTCGATATAAATAAAGGAAGTCTGACTATTAATTGAACTTTTTTTAGTAATATTGTGGAATTTATAGTACTATCATTCAATATTTTTTATAACACACATCGACTAAAAAAGAGAAAAAAAGTTTTTAAAATTTGTTTTCTTCCTTGGATAGGAAACATTCAGTTGCCATTAGGTAATTGAAAGTTTAGTAATAAAATGTCTCAGTAGTAATTCACATTGTCACTTTCAGTAATTACGATACATTGAATTGTTTGCGGACACTTAGATGATAGGATACTTAGCTGACATGCACATTTAACTGACAGGACATTTAGCCAGCAGGACACTTAGCTAACATGGATATTTAGCCAATAAGGCATTTAACCAACATGGATATTTAGCTGAAAAAATATTTAGTCAGAGTGAAATACATATAGACAAAAAAAGGGCGGACATTGTTTTAGTAAAATTTGTTCAAATTTATCTGGGGGGAAAAGGTTGTTTCCAAGTTTGGTTGTTGTAAATTAACGATAAGGTTTATGAACAAATTCCATATTTTTTACCTAATTTAATTTTGAAAAAATGATGGATTTTAAACTTGGACACAAAAGCAATCTTATTTTGGCATAGATTTTGAAATCAGTTTCGAAAGTAATCAGACACATGTCTCTATTTCGCAAGCGGGAAAGAAAATTTCAGCAGTCAGAAGAGTGAAACAATTTTATATGGAAAGAATGAGCAAAGCAAAGCAAAAAATTGGATTTCTTTGAATTCTTTTACATACCCAAAAAAATTTTTTTTGTATTGAATGACACTAATTTTTCAATGCTTTCAAAATTCTAATATCTTAGATTTTTCACATTTCATTATTATTTTCTGCAACAGATTATATTACGTTTGTTTTTGCTTTGCTCCAATCATTTCTTCAAATAGAAAATTGTCTTGCTTTTCTGACTGCTGAAATTTTCTATCCCACTTCTGAAATATACAGAGCCCACCAACCGCCGAGCGATGAAGTCACTGAAAACTGGAAATTCGGTCTGGGTTTCAAATCCCAGCAAATAGGCTGGCTGCATGGGTGCTTTTGTGGCTTTTTGCATGCCTATATATGAGCCAGTTTCCTCTAGAAAGTCCTCCGTGAAAGCATCCCTTTCTTTAGGCAGATAGTCCTCAAGTGCTTTATCATAATCAAATACACCAAACTAAACCGAAATATAGAAACCTATGTCTGATTGCTCTCAAAATTGATTTCAAAATCTGTGCCAAAATAAAGTTGCTTTCCTGTTTAATTTTAAAATCCAGAGTTTCTTTAACATTAAAGTTAAAAATATGGTACTTTTTCATGAACCTTCTTGGAGGATACCCTGTAAACAGCCGTTTTCTCAGATAAATGTGTTTCAAATTTTACTAAAATATTATTACAATTTTTTTGGGGGGTCCTTTTTTTCATATTGTCAATTAAAAATACTGATTTGTCTAATTTGACTGGCTATTAAACATACTGTTAAATAGCCAGTCAAATTAGACCTTTTCCTTTAGATTTAGGTTTATGTGTGTAAAAAGTCCCTGAGGAGGGTGAGCTCGAGGTTTTAGGACCCTTTTTCAGTTTTTCGTTTATATCTCGGAAACTATCACTCCTACAGAAAAATACTTTATATAAAAAATTTGATAAAATTTCCTACAAAAATGGTCCTATGCAATTTTGTCCTAGGACTAACCTGACAAGAGTAACATCAATTCAAAAATTGTGCTTTATTCAGATTTAAAATTAAATTACAGTTTATAGTTGTCTTTTACATTAATATGGAAGATTTGAACTACATAATGAGTAAATTTAACTGTAGCTAGTAAGTAAATCGAATCTTATCGAGTCAAACAGTTCATTACAGGGCGTCAAGTGGGTCTTCAGAGTCTTCCTCATATGCTGAATTCTCGTCTTCAACTTGGAGGCCCATTGGTGCACGCGCTTTCACAACCCCATATGGAAGAGTAGGGAATGCCTGCCTTATGGCATCTACAGCATGTGTACTATCAGCATGTACCACAGCGTGTGCTTTGGTGCAGCTGCAGAATAGAATTGTTGATAGGAGAGCAGTGGGATACAAGGTAGGCAAGGGTTGAAGATCTCCATCTGACCCTCTCATTCAACCACAATCAGTTGATGGTAGTTTGTTGCTCAGCCATTTCTGAATTTGCAAATAGACTCTGTATGAGTGTTGCAGTGCAGAGTCTTTAGTTGGTGGTAGAAAGGAGAGGTCTGGTATCACACTTGTGGGGGATTTTAGGAAGGCTAAGTAGTGCTGTTTGTCCAGGTCTGTTACTCTGGCATTGTACATTTCTATAACATCTGTCATTGCCTCTGTGACTTCCTTGTGTGTTGAAGTGTTGGTGTAAAAGACGTGGAAGATGGAGTACAGGCTACTGGTCTTCATAAATAATTTAACAATTGATGACTTGCCTTTTCAGAAAATTGCCAATGTTGTATCACAGCCACTAAAATTGTGAAGAAATAAGATGCTCTTGGCATAGTCATGTTCCCGCAATTCCATGGAGGAATAAATTCTGCTTTCCTCAATACCCCTTTCCTAGTTGGAAAAACTTTATCTCTTGTTGTTCCCTTGGAGTTAAAAAAATCAGTAGGACCAGCAGATCCATATTGTTGCTGATGACAGCAATAGAACAAGCAGATTCTGCTTTTTCTAATGCATACTTCAGTATTGTTTTATCAACATCAGCTTTTCTGACTCCATGTTCCTCAGCAATCATTTTGTGAGTCAACATAGTAATGACTTTTTTGTTTGGAAAACCTAGCTTTTTTTGTTTGTTTGTTTTTGTTGAACTATCATTGTCATCACTTCAGTGAAGTCAATATCGACTAATGCAGTGATGGTGGTGGCTCGACGTTTTTGTTTTGCATGTTTTGTGCTGTTGAAAGTGTCAGAATAACCATAAAAAACAACAGTGCAGTATTCACCATAGTATTTTTTATGTAAATCACATATTGATTAAATATTGCTGAGAAGGTTAATCCTATACCCCACCTGACTCGATGAAGAAGGAATTTGCCATCAATCACATTAGTGTGAAGCTTGGAGTTAATGAGGTGAACAGGGAAAATATTATAATGCAGACTCTTTTGGCTTTTGCATTCCTTTTTCATTAAATAGAGATAATAGATAAGGTGCCAGTTTGTAATGGAGAAGGTCTTCTAGATACTCATCATTCTTCTTGGAAATAGCTCGTTGCAATATCAGAAGAATCAACCACCTCCACAACGTTGTCAATTTGGATAGTACTACTCATAGCGGCCAGTGATGAGACAGGCTTTTCGAGCCTGTTTTATTTCCCCGAACATTTGTCCTATCATCTTGCATAGAAGTTACAGTTGAGGCAAGATGTTACAGTTAAGGATAGATGTTCCAGTTAAGGAACACAGTTAAGGCAAGGTTATTGCCTTAACTGTGTGGCAGTTTACATCACAGTTAGCCATGATGTCTGTTTTGAAGAAAACTAATGCTCATGATTCTAGAAAAGGAGGGTGCTGAGAACAAAAAATGAAGATATTTCTGTCATCGTCATCTCAGCAAAGTCTTCCAAAGCAGATCGAATTGATATAGCTTCTCCACCAATCCACTTAGCCAATACAGTCTCCCTTAGCTATCACCCACTTGTCAGCCCTCCATGGGCCTTCATGTAGCATATTGAGGTGAGCTCTATTGGTTAGTTTAATTTTCGATCTGGGTGAATCTGATCTACTGACAGTGAAGTATTTGGTGAAATCTTCAAAGTTTTAGAGATGGGTATTTTGAAGAGAGCACATGTCCTGAAGGTATAATTAAGCGCATTTTGAATATTGCAGGCAGTCATCTGCATGAAAGTATGGTAATATATGCTGCACTTATTCATTGGCCTTGGACAACGAAAGAAAGTGAACAAAAAACATCTCCAGTTGGGAGATGTGTCTGAGCTCCCCACCTTCACTGTCACAGCACCACACCATTCATCTTCTCTGTAAAATTTCAAATTTGACGTCTACAATCACTATTTCCATATAAATGCTTACCGTATATAAATTAAATTAGTATACAAAACAAATTCAGAAGCTCATAGCTCGACTATCGTATGTCCTAGGATAAAAATGCATTCATTTTGTCAGCTTCGGTTTTGTATATGGAGTATTTTTCTGTAGGATTTGCAGTTTCATGATTTAAGTGAAAAACTGAAAAAAGGGACCTTTAAACCCCTCCCCCTCCTAGAGCTTACCCCTCACCCTCAGGGACTTTTTACACTCATCAACCCAAGTCTAAAGGAATGTTTAAGATCATTTCCAAAACTCTAGGATTTTTTTTTTTTTTTTTTTTTTTTTTTTTTTATTATCTAATTTGGCTGGGATAAAAATGTCTTGTTGACTAAGTGTCCATGTCGGTTAAATGACCAATCGGCTGTATGTCCCTGTCTGCTAAGTGTCCTATTGGCTAAATGTCTGTGTCAGTTAAATTTCTGTCAGCTAAATATCATTGTCGGCTGACTGTCCTTTCGACTTACTGTCCATGTGGACTAAGTGTCCTGTTGAATAAAT